AGTGCAATGTAACCCCAAGCTGTATTTTACATTCCAAGGCCCCTCATACTATGGCCTCTGATCATGAAGGGACAGAGGCACATCTGAGGGCTTTGGAGAGAGCACCCGCTTCTCTTTCCCTCTCCCCCCACTGCACTCCCCTCTCTTACTCCCCCCTCCCTTCTCTCTGCTAGAAAAAGCTTAGTTGTTAGATTAATGTTCAATTAAATAAAATTACTTTTGCCAGATTTGTGCCTAGAAGGTACAGTATTCATTATTTTTTTCTTAGCACCAATTTTCTACAATTTTAATATCAACACGGCCGTGTGGGATGGGCAACCTTCCCCAAGATTAATATTAGTCATTTTACTAGCTCTTAAGAAAGCATTATGACGTTTTACAGAGAAGAGAATGAAGGTCTTGGTGGTGAAAGTATTTTGCTTACAGTAATCTTCAGGGTTTTGACAGATCGGACGACCTGCATGCATCATTACAATGTGAACCTGTCGTGCTGTCACGGACTTAAAGCTAATGTAGAAGTCACTATTAGAAGCCATTCTAAACAAAAAACATTGAAACCAAGCTAAAACCCGGGTCTGAAATGAGTTTTAAAAGTTTAACCTGCACCAAAGTGGCATTTGATTAATCCTCATATTTGAAAAAACACATTAGGGTAAATCACAACTTGCTTACTGGCACCGACGGTTAGTTACCCCAGTATCTTGGGATACGGTGCCGTGGGGAGGCGAGAGGAGGAAGAAGCCTTTGTGCAGCCGGGGGCCCTCTGTCCCGACTCCCCCCATGTCAGTGGGTCGGCGGCTGCGGCGGGAGTCGGGGCGCTTCCCTTCTCTCCGCTTTGGCTGTCCCAGAGCACGCGGAAGGATGCTGCAGGGGGCCCTGCTGCTCAGGAGAGAGGGCTCCGCCAGACCTGCCGCCCGGCGGCTCATCTCCTGCGGTGCTTCTCCTCCGGCCAGGACACCTCCATCCTCAGCCCCGGGGCTGATCTGGAATCCTTAGCTTCCTCCAAGGCTCACCCCAAACCCCCTCTTCGTTTTCCCAGGTGTTCCTCAGTTCCTTCTTTGCCATTAACCTTATCTGTTTTGTATTTTCCCATCCGTGTACATGTTCTTGAGCATCTAAGATGGTGAGTGAACAGAGTACCGGGTCTCAAGTCAGGAAGACTTGGAGTTCAAATCCAGCCTCAGACACTTCCTAGCTGTGTAACTAGGCAGTCACTTCACCCTGTTTGCCTCAGTTTCTTCATCCATAAAATGAGCTGGAGAAAGAAATGGCAAAACATTCCAGCATCTCTGCCAAGAGAACCCCAAGTGGGTCATGACTGAAGGACGAGGACAAAAGCACAGTTATTTTCCTCCAATAGGCTGTAAGCTCCAGAACGGGTGAGCACATGACGCTCACTTCTCAAATGCTTGTTGAATCAATTATCAGAAATCCACTGGATTCATGATCCTACACCCTCCTGGCGGAAAGAAAAGCTTCCAGATAAGTCAGGAAGAAAGCAGTATGGCGTGCCATCCTGCCCATTCCTGCTGAGGGATTCTGGGTGTCTACCCTATACCTTTTCCCTAAGAAAAGCATCAATACAAGGCTTTCAGACTGTAAGGATATTTCCTAATGTTTCTTGAGAAACAGAAAAGGAAGATTTAATCTGCTTCCACAGTGTAAACATATGACGATTGTTTTACAAGAACATCCTATTCAATTTAATACAGCAAGCACTTGTCAGGTACCTACCATGTGTCAGGGACTGTGCTAAGCAAAAAGACAGTCTTTGCCCTCAGGCTGCTTCTGATCTCTCTGTGGCAACAAGTGTGCTCACAGGCAGGGAGGGCGCTGGGTGAGAGATGAAGTGGGAAAAGGCTCATTCCACTTGAGGGAAAGCCACAGGTAGGCAAATAAGTAAAGAATACCTACACATACACACACACATACACACGCACACACACACACACACACATATACACACATATAATCAATCATTCAAAAGGGTTTCGGCTAAGCATCTCCTGAGCACCACTGTGCCAGGTCCCAGGAGCAGGCTGTCCTGGCCCCCCAGAGGCCAAGGGAATACAGAATGCATGCAGATAAACAGAAGGTGACTGGGGTAGGGGGTGAACGACGGCAGAAATCACTTGTGGAGGGGTCACCAGAGGTCAGAGCACGCCAGACATGGGGGCTGCCCGTGCAAAGGCAGAGGCAGGTGATGGGTGGGGGTGTTCAGGAAGAGCAGACACACTGACTAGGCTGCATCATAGGGAGTGTGAGACAGAGAGGCTGGAGCAAGATTGCTCAGGGCCCAGACTGGCAAACAGAAGAGTCTGTATCTTTCCCGGCTGAAACAGAAGCCAAAGGGGCTTCTTGGGAAGGGCGGCAAATGTGGTCAGGCCTGTGCTTGAGAAATGTTGGCGCAGCAGTTGTGTGGGGACTGGAAGGGCAACAACCAGTCTTGAGGCAGGGAGACCAAACTGCAGGCTGTTGTTATGGTTTGTGGGCCAGGCCGGGACCGGCCTTGTGAGAGAGGTGCTGAGTCGGCAGAGCCAACAAGACATGGCAGTCCCTTGCCTTGTGGGGTCAGGGGAGTGAGGAATGGAGGAGGACCCCAAAGCTGGATATGACTAGAAGGAGAGGGGGGAGTTCATGGAAGCAGGAAAGTGAAGAGGGCTTGTCTGGGGAGAAAGGTCAGGGCTTGCTCTGAATAAGGGATGCCTATGGGACATGCAGTACACGCTGTCCCACGGAGGTCAGGAGGGACGTGAAGGCTGAATGTTTAGATCTGGGAGATCTCTTCAGAGAGACAATCACTTGATGTCACCAGAGAGCACAGGAAGAGTCAGCGGCTGGTTCAAGACTAACATTCAGGAGAAAGGCAAGGCATGCACACACAGAGTTACGGGTCATCTTCACGGAGATGGTTCTACCGCTAGGAGGAAGCTTACAGGGAATGGGGGAGAGGACCCAGGGAGAAGACGGAAGTGACAGAAAGACCAATCAGACAGGTGGCAAGATTCCATCCCAACCCCTCCTCCAGAGGCTGATGCATCAACACCGGCAGGCAGGTCGCAACTCACCCCAGGGATTTATCGGGAGGCAGAGGGTGACTCTGGCCAAGGAGCTCAGTGTCCTTCCCACCATCCAGCACCTCTCCAGCCTATCACCACAGGAAACCAAGGTCAACCTTCATGCCTGCTACCTGAACAAGGCTCCCCTGTCCCGGGAAGGGGAGTCGTCCAATCCAGCAAATCCTCGGTGGCTCCAGGCAAACTGCCTCGGCTTTACTTCCTGGTCATCTGCCTTCATTCCTTGATGGGATGAAACGTTGGCTGTGGGAAGACGGATGGATTTGGAGTCATTAGTCCTAGTTCAAGTACCAGCCAGGTGACTTCCTGGCCAGGATGTGCTGGGGCCGGCTCATATCGGCAGCCGCCTCGCTCTAAGTGGCACACACTGCAGCAGGTCCTAAACATCGCATCAGATCCTCTGGTGGGCAGAGAGTTCATCGCCTAGCTGGGGGAACTCCCTAGAGCTCTGGCTCATCCAGCCAGACTAGGTCAGAGGCAGACCTCGAACCCAAGCCTTCCTGCCTTGGAGGCTGGCTCTCTCCCCATTATGCACACTGATCCGCTGCGCAGGGCACTGGGGAACAGGAAATGACAAGTTCTCCTGTTTTCCAAGGACACCCTGCCATCACTGAGAGTCCAGAAGGTGCCGAAACAATGATTCTAAGAAGACGAAACTCCCTGGTAGGAGGAAAACAGCTTCTCACTTGAGGGAGCTGAGCCCAGCCTCGGCATGCTGGGTATTTCTTGAACCTACCAAAACGACTTCCATTTTGCCCAAATACCTGGGAATAAAGTGGCTTCAACCTTTATTCTTACTAAAATGAATCACTGACCTCAAATCAAAGATGAGGTCTAGCAAATGGCCAGAGAAGAGCAACAGCATGGCAGAGCGTGCAGGAGGCTATGAGGCCTGCCTCAGACACCTATGGGGGTGGGGTGGGGGGGTGGGGGAGTGACCAACAGCAAATCACGTCACCCCTTGACACTCCTGGCTAAGCTTCTCTGGCATTAACTACAGGACAGGAGCTGATCTCTACCCATGGATGGAGCCTGTAATAACAGCTTAGAGAGACAGATTCAATAGACAGATAGATGGCAGACAGCAAGAGAGAGAGGCAGATAGATATAGATGTAGGCAGACAGACAAACAGAGACAGAGAGCTAGCCATAGATAAGCATAGGCATACATGGAATAAACATAGAAAGACAGAAACATAAAGACAAAGATGGAGACAGATAGCCAGGCATAGACAGACAGACACAGATAACACAGACAGACATAATCAGACATAGGTGGAGAGACACAGATAAGCACAGGCAGACATGGATAGACATAGAAAGATAGAGATGGACAGTGAGACAAGCAGGCAGACACAGACAGACAGACAGACAGACAGACCAATCTGGGGAACAAGAAAAAACCACAGATGTCCTAATGGTGGTTTCATAGGAAGCCACGCACACGTTTTGTTAAAGGCAAAATCGATTCAGCCAATAAGCTACCAAGCCCTCTATTCCTCACCACTTTTTTCTCCTATCTGTTCTAGAACCTGGTTTCCCAACGATGTGGGTTTTTCAGTTGGAAAATACGGCATTATTGCGAGTAATATATATTCTTTACATACAATTATTTTTATCATCTCATCTATTTTCACTCAGTCTCATCAATTAATGAAGTAGAGCACTTCCGTGAGATGGCCTACATGGCAAGGAAAGGCACGCCAAACAATGGCTGCAGTGGTGACAAACACCCTTGACAACCACAACAAGCACAGACAGGTGTTAAGCACCTACCCAAATACTCCAGTAAAGCCACGGGCTAGGTGCTGGGGCAGACAGAAATACAGACCGTTTGCCTCAGGGAGCCTGCATTCTCCAGGTATTGAAGCAGCCCCCTTCCTTGGCTCCCGTGTACTTTTCCTCCCTAATTCCACAGTCGTAATGAGCCTCCATCCATGCAGTCGAAGCACCGTGGATGGCCAGGCGGCCTCCGGCCCGCAAGAAGACAAGGAGTCTGGCAGACCCCGGCTCTACCCCTATTTCCACTCGGGTCTAGCACTTTCAGGAGCCAATGGCTTCTGCCTTTCTCTTTGCAGAACGTTCACCCCCGTGTACTGCCCAAGCCCGCTGAGCGGCATCACGCCTCTGCTGTACGTAGCTCAGACCAGGCAATCCAACATCTTGAAAATACTCCTGCAATATGGAATCCTCGAGAGAGAGAGAAAGCCCTTCAACATCGTGCTCACGATCCTGCTGTACCCTTCCAGAGTGAGGATAATGGTAGATCACGAACTGGTGGACATCCGGGAAGACGCCAAAACGTGCCTAGTGCTGTGTTCCAGAGTGCTTTCTGTCATTCCAGTCCGGGAAATCGAGGTAGGTGAAACACTGCGCGTGCACAGCTCACACTGGCAGCAGAGATGGGGGGGAGGGGAGGGAAAGGTCAGGCTCCACTTCACATTAAGCCAAACCAAATTAACTGCAAGAACCTAAGTGTGCTCATTAAATGAACAGCAAGTAAAAGCATGCAATCGAAGCTGTCTAAGAACTAGCACAGGGCCTCATTTTCTTTTACCTTTCTAAATGTAGATGACAATGTGCAAACCAGAATCTACAGCGCCTTTTTTAAAGCAACGAAGTAGACGTATGTCAGCGTTATAGATCACATATTGTGAGCATACAAACATCTAGCAAGTAGGTTTTAGGTAAGCAGCAAGCAAAACAAAATCAATCGCAATTACGTAAATTGCTGAATGTCTGATCTGACCCGAAAGAATAAAAATGAACTAATACCCTGACTTTACGCTTAGTAACTTTCACTAAGGGAGCCATAGACTATTCTCTGACACACCCTATCCATCTGACTGTAGACCATCACCACTACCTGCCCCAAGATCAGATTCCTATGAAAGGAAAAACACACACACAGGACTAGATAGAGCCATGGATTATTTTACTGTATTGTGTAACCATACACCATAGCTTCTTTCCCCAAATCTGGTTTGTATAAATCCTAAGTGAATCCAGTAATCAGTTGGCTATCTCTCCATCCCTCCACATGTGTATTTGTATTATATATATATATATATACATGTTATGTATGTATATATGTACATACATATATATACACACATATTTCTATGTGTATATATACAACTAGTATACACATTACATATCTCTCTGTGTGTGTACATACTGAAAAAGGGCACTAATTACAAGATTCACTTGGGATTTCTACAAGCTTGATTTGGTGAAAGAAAGTAAAGTTATATTTGAACAATATAGTAGTAACCAAGAATAAATTTCTTTATTTTATAATCCCCAAATACTTTAAAAGACAAGTTCTGAATAAACTATTTGCTAAATTGAGTATCTCTGTACTTTAGAGATCTAGAAAACATGAAGCTAAAATACTATTTTGCCTTGTTTCTGTGAACTAAACTAAGTTTGGACAAACTGTGGCTTATGTTAGGCGGCTTGGGCGATGTCCACCATTTTCAACACAACAGCAAGTTTCTGTGCCAAACAGTTGCTGCGTGCATACCAATTGGCAGCAACGATCAGCTTGAGGAAACCGAGTTATTGGGGCAGCTCCAGAGTCAGCCTACATAAATCACCAATGTGCAGGAGAATGCCAGCTCCTTCCCAAGCGGGAATCTTACCCTGGAGTCCACAGGCTCAAAGAAGTCCATGGGTGGATTCCAGAAATTCCACGAATGTGGATGGGGAAATGACATCTTTATCTCAATATACCTGGTTTCCTTTGTGCTTCTACACACTTTATTCTTCTGCATTAACAGAGGTGATTTTGAGAAGGGAATCATGGGCATTGTGTACAGACAAGGGCTAAGAACTCTTGCTCTGAAGGTCTCTGTCTGTCACACACACACACACACACACACCCACCCACCCATAGAGAGGGAGCGTGGTAGAGTGAAGGGGCCCGCTTGCCTCCGGAGTCAGGAAGACATCGGTTCACATCCCGCCCTCAGACGCTTAATAGATGTGCATGGTCCAGGCAGGTCTTTTAACTTGCCTACCTTCAGTCCGCTCCTGCAAGGTGAAAGGGTCGGCCTGAGTGGCTCCCAAGGTCCCTTCCAGCCCAGCTCTGTGAGGGCGAGAGCTGAGAGAGGAAGCTCTTGGTGCCCTAGGTGACCCCCCAAGACCACACAGCTGTCAGGTGCACAGGAAGTGCCGGCCCATGTTGGCAGAGGGAGGGTCTTGGCCTGAAAGTTCCCTATGCAAATGAAATCCCAAGCCCCATCCCTACCCTGTTCCTATATGCACACATACATATTTATGATTAAATAATCACTTCTCAAGACTGCAACGTGTATAATGTGTTTCATTCGATTCTCAATAAACCTACATACCTTTGATGCTCTGCCCATCTTGACTACATTACTCACTGCACTTTAGATTTGATTACTATACCTAATTTGAGCTATAAAGAAGAAAAAGAGAAAGCCCTTGAATAGGGAACATTCTGGCCTTTCTTAATGACTATATAAATTTATTTGGTTTATATCTGTACAAGATCACCCTTTCAATTTACCACTCGGAACAGTCGACATCTAATCAAATTTCTATTTGTTGAATATCCCTAGCAAATTTATTTTTAGCATCGCCCTAACAAAATTATTTCCAGAATTACATTTTTTAAAAGGAGTGGCTACTCTGATTTGGGTTCTGCAATTATAATTGATTCACTTGCTGTGTGATCTAGAGTAAACACTTTAATTTCTGGTGCCTTGGTTTTTTCATCTGCAAAATAGGAATTTAAAATACCTGCTCAGATTTAAATAAAAGATAGGAAAGCATTTTGATAAAGTTAAGAATCTTGGAGAAATGTAAGCTGGTATTTTTTACTGCATTTGAACCAGAATTATGTACATACCAATAGTTCTGACTCAACTGTATTGTAAGTGACAAAGAATAATCTAAACGTTTAAGTAAAAATCCTTTTTCTCTCCTTCCCAGGCACAGCTGAGCTTGGGAAGGCGACCGATTATTTCCAATTGGTTAGATTACATCCCTTCAACGAGATACAAAGACCCATGTGAACTCTCACATCTTTGCAGACTGGCCATCCGAGCTCAGCTCCTCTCCAACAATATGCTCCCCAGTGGGATCTTTTCACTTCTGATTCCTGCTCGTCTGCAGAACTACCTGAATCTAGAAAGCTAATACACTTCTTTGTCCCTAACTCCTGAAGGGTGATCATCCTTTGTATGGTTCAGAAGTTAATAAACTACTGCATTAACTTCATATTTTTACTTCAAGGAACATTTCACTTGACAATTTACATATTTTCTTTAAGCACTTTGGACACAGAAGGTGCTTAATAAATGCCTGTTGAATGGATGAAATAATGGAGTAAGTGTCAATGTCAGATACCTTGTGTCAGAGGATCTGAGCCCAGATTCTACCTCTGATGCTTGCTTCCTATGGGTGTTACCTCCAGTGAGTCACTGACCTCCCCAGGGGCTCTGTCCTCATCTGTCAACTGATGGCGTTGGACTGGACAGACTATTAGGTCCATGCCAACTCTGGAGCTACGCCAGAGTCCATGGCACCCAACAGGTTACTAACCCCTGCTCTAAAGGCAGGTTTCTGTCTCTCTCTTCTCCGTCATTCTCTCTCTCTCTTTCATTCTCTGTCTCTTTTTCTCTTTCTCTGTCTCTTTCTCTTCTCTGTCTCTCTCTTCTCTTTCTGTCTCTCTCCTCTATCTCTCTGTCTCTATATCTCTCTGTCTCTGTCTCTCTCTCTCTCCTCTCTCTATTTCTGTCTCTTTTTCTCTGTCTCTATCTCTTTCCATCTGTCTCTCTTTCTCTCTGTCTCTGTCTCTCTCTCTCCTGCCCTGTCAGTCAACAGTTCTTCAATAAAGATTTATTAAGTGGCCACTGTGTGCCAGGAACTGTGCTAAGGACTGGGAATTTTTTAAAAAGGCAAAAGATAGTCCCTGCCTTGCAGGAGCTCACAATCTAATGAGGGGAATAACAAGCAAACATACATACAAACGAGCTAGAGACAGAATAAATCTGCAATAAATAAATGAGGGAAGGCACCAGAATTAAGTGGGTTCCTGTAGAAGGTGGGATTTTAGTTGGGAGGTGAGTGGTGGGAGCCGAGGAGGGAGAGGGTTCCAGGCTGGGGGACAGCCAGAGAGGATGCCTGGAGCCAAGAGATGAGGGTTAGTGGAAGGGCCAAGAAGCCGGGGTCACTAGATTGAAGAGTACTTGTCGGGTGAGTAAGGTGTGAAAAGACCAGACAGGTAGGAGGGGGCTAGGTTGGGAGGGCTTTACAAGCCAGACAGAGCATTCTGTATTTGAACCTGGAGAAGGCAGGGGGCCGCTGCAGCTTACTGAGTAGGGAGGGTGACAGGATCACACCTGCTCTTTAGGAAAATCACTGGAGTGGGGAGAGACTGAGGCAGGCAGACCCTCCAGCAGCTACTGCAGTAGTCCAGGTGTGAGTGATGATGGTCTGTATCAGGGTGGGTGGCAGTGTCAGAGGAGAGGAGAAGGAGTACAGGAGGAGACATGGTGGAAAAGCCTTGGCACCATATTAGATTGGGGAGGGTGGGAAGAGAAGAGAAATAATGGGTTGGGAGCCCAAGGGACAGGAGGGTGGTGTTGCCCTCTGTGGAAACTGGCAAATTTGGAAAGAGAAGGGGCTTCCCGGGGAAGATCATGAGTTCCAATTTGATCAGGATGAATTTAATATGGCCACTTAACATCAGTCAGATGTCTGAAAGGGAGATGGAGACATGAGACTGGAGGTCAGCAGAGAACGTGGGGCAGGAGAGACAGACTGGAGAATCATCATCATAGAGACACTAATGGAAGCTGACCGATCACCTGGGGAAGTTGTACAGAGGCAGCACAGACGACCCCAGGACAGAGCCCTGAGGGGCTCCCATGGTCAGGGAGCATGATCTGGAGGAGGGTCCAGCAAAGGAGATCGAGAAGAGTGAGAGAGGGAGGAGAATGAGGGGGGAGGGAAGAGAGGATCAAGGAGGAGACTGTGACTGACAGTGCCCCCTTGGGCTGCAGAGAGGTCAAGGAGAATGAGAACTGAGGAGAAGCCTCCGGATTTGGCAACTAAGATCCTCAGCAACTCTGGGGAGAGCGGTTTCGATGGAGTGATGTGGTCAGAAGCCAGATCTTAAGGACTTACTCTCTCTGCCTCTGTCTCTTTCTTTGTTTCTGTCTCTGCCACACACAGACACACACACACACACACACACACACACACACACACACAGAGGCATAGAGAGGTCACACGTTGTTGTGGAGGGGGCACTGGATCGCTCTGTGACCACTTACGAGATGGATGACTGAGCAAGTCATTGAATCACTTGGGCTTTCCTTTTCTCATTTGTAAAATGGGAATAATTATTTTCACTACCAACCCTGAAGGGTTGACTAAGGAACACACGTTTTAATCCTAAAAATGTAAACCTCAAAAATATATAAATGTGAATTATTATCCTTATTACTATTAGTTTCTGACAGCAGAATCTAAGGATCATATTTGTCCAAATTATATCACAATGGAAAATTATGCATCTTCCCGTACTTCAACTATAAATAACCTTTTTATCATCATGTTTAATTATAAATTGTGATTCATAAAGAGAATAAATCATATTAATGAATTTTTATTAAAGTCTCAATTTCTTCACTTGTAAAATAGGACGGTTAGCCTCAGTGATCTCTAGGCTCCCTCCCAGCTCCCAAAGTGATTGACTGGCCTCACAATCCATATCAGAAGAATCAAATGGATGAAGAGGCATGTTGCCTGGATGATAACTTCCAGTTGGAAGTAAAGTCCATCAAATTTATCCAAATATAATTTTACCTTAAAAGAAGGAAAAAATGAAAGAGCCAGAACAGAGAAATTAAAACCCCTTATATATAAAGAAGAGAACCACTGTCCTCAAAATCAAACACCTAAAAAAGAGCATTGAGGCCGGGGATTCCATTTGTGTGCCACGGACCCCTTTGGGAACACGCAGAAGCCCATGGAGCCCTTCTCAGAAAACTGTTTTCAAATGTATAAAATTAAATCTATAGGACTACAAAGGAAATGCAATTATCAAACTATTTTAAGTTTGCAGACTCTCAGTTAAGACCCCCGATGTAGGGTTTTCTTTACCATCTTCAAAGGGTCATCAAGCCCCACTTGAAAATGTCCAGTAGTAAAAATTATAATAATATAACTGTATATGTTGTTCTATAGCATATTATATATATATAATATTATGTATGTGATGTTCTATAGCACATTAAGGTTCAGAGTAATTTAATACATATTATTTCATTTGATAACAACAACCCTGTGAGACCAGTACTACTGTTTCCTCGTCTGTAAGATGGGGATAATAATAGCACCTTCTAGAGACCGCCAATGTATATAATGGATGTAAAGCGCTCCACAAAACTTAAAATGCTACATAAGGTCGGCTATTATGATCCCTATTACGTTACAGGTGATGAAAGCAACTTAAAAGAGACTAAGTCATTCATCGAGGGTCAAAGTTATTCAACAGAGAGAAGTGGGATTAAAATCCACATCTCTAAAGCCAGTTTCGTCTCCACTACAAAAGTCTATGACAACCACAACCTTCCAAAGGAGCCCGTTCCACTCTGGCTTTGGCCCACGACTGTTGGGTTTTCTTCATATTAGTCATAATCTGCCCCTCTGTAACCTCTCTGCTTTTCCTCATTCCTTCCACGTGACGAGTTTCATAGAGCTGAGGATGGCTGTTACTGTCCTCGCTCCCCGCAACCATCCATTTACCTGGGAAGCAGCCTTGGTTCCTTCTGCCACGTCTGGCATGGCAAGTTGTCGACCATTTGCTTTTTGTCCCCAATGAAACATCAATGTTCGCTCGCATTGCCAAGGACTTTTGGAGTCCTAGGTCTTAGAAGGAGAAGACAGGAGGGGCCGTCTGGCCCAGGCTCATCATTAAGCATTTCTGAAGTCCTGACTATGCGTCAGGCCCCGTGCCTTGGCACAGAGCTCTGCTCCGAGGTCTGCAGCTGGCTCCCAATTTACACTTTAAGGGTTGTCGTCCAGACACTGGCAAAGACCCCAAATCGGGACTTGGGTTGTTCTACCGACTGTCTAGGAAGGTGAGAGAGAAGCCCTTCATGACGCAGGTCACCTTAAGAGTGTTGGGGTTACATTCACCAGCATGCGCACCTATGGATACAAAGGCACAAGTACAAGTCTCTGCCCTGAGAAAGCTTCCATTCTCCCAGCACTCAGGAGGTCAAAGAGCTGAGGACCACACAGCTCACACAGTGAACTAACTCTCTCCAGGACGTGAAGCCAGGTCCTTGGCTTCCACTCCACCATGCTGCCTCATCCTTTCCCCTTTCTGCTCCCAGGATCCCAGTGTTCACTGGCTGGACGGCACCCACGAGTCATCCAGTCCAAGCCACCCTCACTCCGACCACAGTACAGCTATAATACATAAAGGAATAGTATGGAGGGTAGAGTGGTCACGCAGCCTCTGCTGGAAGACGACCCAAAGCAGCCCACTCCACTCCATCCACTTGGGGACAGTTTTTATCATCAGGAAAACTTTCCCTGACCTTCATCTAAAAGGTGCTTCACTTCTACCCCCGAGTCCTGCTCTGTCCTGTGAGGCCAAACAGAAGAAATCCAGGGTCTCCTCCCTTTCAATACTGTCTAACAAGCGGTTCTAACACATTTCTTCACAGAAGTAGAGAAGGAAGGAGAAGCCGAATTACATGCAGGTGTAATGGAAGACGTAGAAATCTCAGCGTGCCCTTCCTCTTTGCCTGGGAAATACTTTCCACCACAAAAGGCCACCCAGGATCCATTCTCAACCCCCGCAATGTGGTGATTGAGGCCTGGGTCCCTATCTGGAATCCAAGTGCAGTGTTGGGGGAGAAGTAGCCCACCGCTCCAAAACCTGAGAAATACACAAATCTACAGTGACACCCTGACTAGGTCTGGGAAGTTCCTTTCAATCGCACCCACTCCACTTCACATCATTTCCACAAGCAGTGCACACCACATACAGGCATGTGCCAGTGGGGTTCCAGACCACCGCAACAGAGTATTACGATAAAGCAAGTCACCCAAACTTTCTGATTTCCCAGTGCATATAAAAGTTATGTCTACACTATACTGTAATCTATTAAGTGTGC